ACTTCAAAAAAGTCTTTACCTCTTTATTCATTTCCACTCTCCCCGACCTTATATTCAGATTCTTCTTTTACGCTTATAACCAATCCATTCTTTTCTTTTACTCTTTACGCTGATATTCATCGACAACCAAAGAGTCCCAAATGTTTCTGTCTCTCAAATGTTTCATGGTGGAACTTCATCATTGACTGGACTTTAAAAGGGTTTCAACTTCAAATTTAATTTGACTTAACTTGATTGAACCATCACAGGGTATTTTGTATAAAGACTGTAAATATTAATGGGCGATGCCTGAGTGACGTCCCCTGTCTGTTCCTGCAGGGGGCACTGGAGTCCCATCGATAGCGGTCTCTATGTTGGAAATGCTGTCTCAGCCTAACTTTCAGTCAACCTATCGACAGGCTGAGAGCTGGAGCTGAGGCGGGTTTTAAGCCTCCAGACAAACCGTTGCACCGCACCCACCTGTCAATCAGGTCAGCTACACGCCTTATTGTGAATAACTCTTATCCTTCATCAAATCAAAACTGATGAGTCATCAAAACATTCACCCCCCCGTACAGTGTGTGCCAATCGAGACATGAGCTAATGAGCTATTTGGTTTTTTGAACCAGGCTGTAAAAATGTTAATCTCTGCTGTAAAAACAGACTTTTTAGAATGGGTGTGTATTTGACTTCCTGTGTTCTTGGAGCCAGCCTCTAGTGAACACCCAAGGAACTGCAGGATTTTGCGCTTCAGAATTGGCTTCATTTTTCAACTCCGGTGGTTGCTTCTTGGTCAAACATTTTTACGTCTATTACTGATGAGATTCTGTTGATGTATTTTCTGCACCTTGGATTTCAAACCCTTTGACACATCATGACCTGAAGAGCTTTTGTGAAATATATAATTTAGATCCTCTCCTGAAATAAATTGTTGAGGGCAGTGTGAATGAAATAAATGTCACATTCATTATTAATGAATCATTCTGATAGTATTAAGTAATCTCAGGCACAGATAGGGCAGCAGCAGGTTATCTTTTTTCTGCGTCACCTGGATTTACCAGACAGCATCGACCAATCACAGCCCAGCCTCTGTACACATTACTGCTGACGTCTGACAGTGGGTGAGTGTCCGAAGGGGCCCTCTGTGATGTCACCTCTTTGAAACTGGGTGGACTCATCGCTACACACAGCTGATAAGAACTCAACTTTGATGCAACTTTCTGTCCTCCATGATGTTGCACAACTCCACCTTCATGCTTTTCATCTGCATGCTCGCTCCACGCTGCAGCTGAAGGTTTCTAACTTTTTTCAAACTCTTGTCAAATATGAACATTTTTGTTGGAACGTTTTTTTAGTCTAGTCAAGGATTCTTACCAACTGGACAGATATAAAATCTAACCCACTTTCATCTCAGCGTCATAAATGATTCAGGGGACTTTTAGAAAGAGCCCAAAATCAGCTGGATGATCTTGTAGTGTGTACCCTACTAAAAAATATAAGTCCACGGCCGAGGAACCCGAGCAGCAAACGCTTGGGCTCCTTTGGTTTTTAAGTTTGAGAAGGGAACAGAGAGGAGGTTCCTGCCATAGGATCTCAGGCTGCTCACTCGCTGGAGCCCATAAAAACCTTTAAATTTCTCAGAGTGCCTTTATAAATGAATAAATAACTGCACAGTTAAAAAATACAGGTTAGATAAGAAATGTGCCGAAGGACATGAAGTCTCTCTCAGTAAGTCGCCTCTGAGGTAATCATTTCCTCAGATAAGACTACCTAAAAAACAAGAACACTCAGACGATGTTTTCAGAACTCAAGGAGTAAATGATTGTCCTGTTGAAGTTCAAGTCATAGTTTAACCGAGCTGCAGCAAACAGACGGATAAAGATAAAGCATGTTCTGTATATCTCTGTGATGTGGAACAGTAAATTATTCGATTTTAACTACAACAACACATGCTGTCATAAAATAATCTGTCACTCTGATAGATCTCCAGAAAGTTGTTTGTGTTTCAGTTCTCATGAACCTTCACTTAGAAACACTATACTAGTACAGTAACTCATGAACACGCAGGAAGCAGATCAAGTCAAAAACAAGTTAGTGATAATTAACTTCAGTCAATAGCTCTATCTGTCTCTATCTTCAGTCTTACACAACAGCTGCAGTGAATCATGGGACGAAAACATGTGGACTCATACATCCACACTCCAGCTACAGTTGGGCAGAATGTTTTAGATACTGGGGGCCGGCCTGCGCCTGCTAGAGCTGTGCAAATAAAGCAAAAGGAGACCCTGTCTAATTCTTAAAACAACACGCCCAGGGTGGTAAATCGACCCTGACTGCACTGCAGAGCAGGCAGTCTCTGTGCATCAGGTCTGATTGTGGGTTTTTAAATGAGCCATTGTTAAGTCACAGGGCGGCTGTGGTTCAGTTGGTAGAGTTGTCGCCTCTCAACTGGAAGGTCAAGGGTTCAACCCCAACATGTCCAGTGTGTCCTTGGGCAAGACACTTAACCCTGACTTTCTCCTGTCTGCTTCAGTGGTGGTGTATGAATGGGATTAGCTCATTCTAATGGATGATATCACATATGGGTGTGAATGGGTGGGTGAGACATGCAGTGTGAAAGTGCTTTGAGTAGTCAGAAAGGCTAGAAAAGCTGTATAAGCTCAAGTCAATTTACCATTCAAGTCCATTTGTAAATTTCTATGCAATTAACCCTTATTGCAAAAAGCGTCTGATCACAAACGGCAGCGGTAACAGTAAAACCGATGAAAGTGATGCAAAAACTGCCTGCTGAGAGTTGTTGGTAACTACACCGTAGTATTTATAAGAGATGTGACGTGCAAACTTTCCAGTGATCAGGAAAATAATTCAGCTTCTTTTTTGTGTCGTTCTCTCAACCGGAATTCCCATCTGCTGCAGCTACATGCAGAGGCGCTGCTTGTCCACAAGCAAGGCAGGCAACTGCTTAGGGTCCCAGACCAGTAGGGGGCCCTTGAGGGCTCACAAACTTAAAACCAAAGCAGTGGCCCAAAATGTGCAAATTTTGCAATGACAGTAGGAAACCTCCCTAAGGGGCCCCCCATCTGACAACACTCACTCTCGTAGCCCTGCTTATTTTGTCAATGAAAGTCACGGAAGGAAAAGGAAGCGGAACAACTGTCTATAGGAGAGAAAAAAGGAACAGGAGGTGGAGGAGGAGGAGGAGGAGGAGGAGCGTCGATGAACGCTGGTTGGATGGCCCCAACAGACTCTAGAATCGCATCTGGCTACATGTCCGATATGCCCTTAGGGAAGTTGCTCCCACTGCTTCGTATGAATATGTATGAATGGGTTTAGGTATTTCTGATTGACTCTTTATACAGCAGCCTCTACTATCAGTGTGTGAATGTGTAGGTGTGACCTGCAGTGTAAAAATCCCAAAATAAAATCACTAAATATAACTGACATTACTTTTAATATAACCAGGGGTTCAATCAGTCAGGCTGTCAGCTGCTCCACACTTCATCCACAGGTGTGCAGACAGTTTGGAGCAGTTGCTCAAGAAGGCGAGGGGTTTTTCTCCTTTTCAAGTTGCCCTTGCTTGCTCCATTCAAAGAGGAAGCTTTGTTCTACTATGCAATGATGGACACATAAACCACTGCATACTGTACATAAAGCAGTCATGTAAATAAAGTACATGTTGATAAATACATTCGGCCAGTAAGATTTATATGGGATAAATCCATATAGTCCAAGACGAGTCAACCAATGCTGGAGCCCCCAGTGTTCTTTTACATCTTATTCTACTGTCTTGGTCTGGATCGTTAAATGTCTTGGTCTTGTCTCGGTCTTGTGTTGCCTCTGTCTTGGTCTTGTCTCGGTCTCTATCCTGAAATGTTTTGGTCTTGTCTCTGTCTCTATCCCTAAATGTCTTGGTCTTGTCTCGGTCTCTATCCTTAAATGTCCTGGTCTTGTCTCTGTCTCTATCCCTAAATGTCTTGGTCTTATATCGGTCTCGCCTTGCCTTGGTCTTAGTCTAGACTTGGTCTTGATCTCTAGATGTCTTGGTCTTGACTTGGTCTCGCCCTGCCTTGGTCTTGGTCTAGACTTGGTCTTGATCCCTAAATGTCTTGTTCTTGTCTCGGCCTCGCCCTGCCTCGATCTCATACTTGATTTTTTGCCACTTCTGCCTACTGTTGTGGCGAGATAGTCAAGTTTTGCACATTGCAGAAGGAACGTGAATCCACATCTTCCTTTTGCACAAGTTAGCTTCTCTATGAATACAAAGCTCTGAGGTCAAACACCTAAGATGTCAATGTCACACTTTGCACGATTGCAAAGTGAGTGTAACTTTTGTAATAACTACAGATGTTTAAAAATGTAAACGGAATCAGTCATGTGTTTAAATACCTTTATTTTCTGCCCCCTCTTTGGGGGTTCAAGATTACAACAACACAAACCAACAGATACTCACAGTGTATAAAAATAAATTAAGGCAACACAATAAACAATACGAACAGACAACATTCATTTCCCCCAAATTTTCATGAGGTAAAACAACACTGGACTCATTGACTCTCTCTGTGCCACATAAACGCATACGGCAGTATGACGTGGATTAGTAATAAGTTATTGTTAAATAGTAAAATTCAGACATGTAGTCTGAAACTTCATTTGAATGATAGTTTGAACAAAATAAAGGACCTGCTAAGATGGCAGGAAAATAAACATTCACGTCGACATTCTGAGCCTAAAATGGCCAAAGGACAATTTCACACTTTAAAACAAAACAAGTAAAAGTTATTAGAGGATAGTTGTCCCTCTTTGCCGAAGCTAAAAAGCCAAATCTCAAATTAAGGATTTATTTTTAAACAATTTGAGGTCAACAGTGACGAGGTGTTACAGGATTGCTCACATTATCAACTTTAATTTCAGGTTTGTTCTAAAATAACTGATGTTCGGGAGTTAGAAACTTGCAGTTCTACAATTACTAACATGCAGCATAATTATAAAATAAATATTACAATGCTAACACATTTTTCTTCTTTCTTCATATCTCTGCCTTTACATCTGTTTCACCCTCTGCTGCAGGAGCTCCAGCTGCCGGGCCACCTCGTTGGGCAGGTCATCGTTCACCTGCGTGGTGAAGTAATTCCTCACCTCCTCCACCTCCCGCTGCCAGAACTCTTGATCCAGGGAGAACAGCTCATCAAGGTCCACGTCCTGCTGCAGGCCCTGGAGGTTAAGGGATTCGCTGCAAGGCAGGTAGCCCACGGCTGAGGGCATTGCGCCGGCCACACCGTTCACTCGCCTGAACATCCAGTCCAACACGCGGATGTTGTCGCCGAAACCAGGCCAGAGGAATCCGGCGGTGGGGCTCTTGCGGAACCAGTTGACGTGAAAGATCTTTGGGAGTTTTGCGCCGGGTCGGTCGGCCATGCTCAACCAGTGAGAGAGGTACTGTCCGAAGTTGTAGCCAAAGAAGGGACGCATGGCAAACGGGTCATTCATGATCACCTTGCCTGCAGAAACGAAGGCGGATAAAATGGAAAGAGATAATGTTAAAATATTGAGCCGCTTCATGATTCACCAATCAAGAGCCTGAAGTATCAGTCAGAGGAAACTCCTCACTGGCTGGAGTCCATACTGAATATCATGCCTTTAGGAAGATTCGATACTGACCTTTGTGCTCAGCAGCAGCGGTGGCTTCTGACCTCATTGCTGCTCCGACAAACACTCCATGCTGCCAGCTGAAAGCCTCATAAACCAGAGGGACTCCTGAAAAAGGAGGCACGGGTTGGACTTGTAACTTAAATGCACCACCTTCCAATCCTCATGTCTGTGATTCTACAAGTTCTCTACGTTATAGTGTTTTCCATTCTGTTCCTGCTCACCTTCTGGTCTGCGCCCTCCAAAAATGATGGCCTCAATTGGGACTCCTTCTGGGGATTCCCACTGTGGGTCGATGATGGGACATTGATCGGCCGGAGTGCAGAAACGAGAGTTGGGGTGAGCACAGGGTTCACCTGGGGAGGAAAGGGACCAGTTCGTGAGCGTTATTCAACTACATCTTGTGGGTTAGTCAGTAGTAAACATAGATATTTTGCTGCTCCTAAACAAACCCCTGAAGATCCTATCCATCCATCACAACTCCCATCATTTGTCAACCATTCCTGTTTCGACTGACTGCAAGACATTTTTTTATCTTGTTCAATCCTTCCCAGTTATGAGAATTGTTATTCAGAGACTAGGTAAGTTTTCTTTTTCTTATCTGCACCATTTTTCGTCCCTTTTATTGTTCATACAAGGTCTGAAGAAGAGAAATAAATCAACTCTTACCATCTTGGGAGCTCCAAGGCTTGTTCTTCCAAGACGTAATGCTGACTCCCTCAGGCAGTGCCTGGTCCATTCCCTCCCAGTACACACCGCCATCGCTGGTCTCTGCAACGTTGGTGAAAACTGTGTTCTTCACAATGGTATCCATTGCGTTGGGGTTTGTTTTGGCTGAGGTGCCTGGTGCGACCCCGAAGAAGCCATTCTCTGGGTTGATGGCGCGTAGGTTGCCTTGCTTGTCAAACTTCATCCAGGCAATGTCGTCTCCCACACACTCCACCTTCCAGCCGGGCAGCGTTGGGCAAAGCATGGCCAGATTTGTTTTTCCACAGGCACTGGGAAAGGCTGCAGCCATGTACTTCTTCTCTCCAGCAGGGTTAGTGATACCCAGGATCTGAGAAGAAAGGACATTAAGTTTGGTAGGAATGGAGATGTATTTGCATGACAGATCTCTTATACCTTAAGGAAAGACAGTTGGGCTCAATCCTAAAATCAGTGCCTTACCAGCATGTGCTCTGCCAGCCAGCCCTCCTCCTTGGCAATTCGTGAGGCAATTCTCAGAGCAAAGCATTTCTTCCCCAGCAGGGAATTTCCTCCATAACCACTCCCAAATGACACGATTTGCCTGCGGTCTGGGATGTGGGCGATTAACGTCTGGTCGGGGTTACAGGGCCAGTTGTTCACCAGGGGCTCTGAATGGGAAATGGGGAAATTGGAGTCAGTTGACGGCATGTGGTTGGAGTACGACATTAGTACAAGTCATCTACTGTTGAAGAAATAACCTGATGCTTGATTAATTAACATGGTGAAGTTGTTGACGTACTTTTGAGTGGCAGAGGACAGCCAACGGAGTGCAGGCAGCGAACGAACTCTCCAGTTCCCAGAGCGGACAGCACAGCAGTCCCCATACGGGTCATCACCCTCATACTGACGACCACGTAGGGAGAGTCTGTCAGCTCCACTCCAATCTTAGAGAGAGGGGAACCGACTGGACCCATACTGAAGGGAATCACATACATGGTGCGACCTGAGGACAAAGAGTTGGAGATGTAACCTTTGAATTCATTTTTTACTAAAATTGTGTTCTTCACGAGCATGTTTTTCTGAACTTTCTCTCAAACGTCTTCTGAAATCTCTGCTGTACCTTTCATGCAGCCAGGGAACCTCTGACCCATGGCTTTGTCGAACTCTTCTTGGGACATCCAGCGGCCGAGCTGACTGACGCCGCCCCCTACAGGTGTTGGCACCGTGTCCCTCTGGTCCTCAGTAACGATGACAGTCTTACTCTCCACACGAGCCACGTCCCTCGGGTCGGTTCTGGCCAACCAGCTGCAGGAGAAAGAAGAGGCGGAAAAGGAGAGGGTGTGAACAAATGTTTAGCTTATCTGTATCCATATTTTTTCAATTATTTTTTAAGTACAGGGATAAGATATATCTGGGTGATTGCAGGATCTTGATATGGGGATTGTAATAGAATTTATGTTGATAATGATCATGAACATTGGACATTTGTTTGATCAAACCATCAATGAGGATAAACGTGATTAAGTCTGCAGCTTTAGCTTGCACGTAAAGTTCAAGCCAACTTTAAATTGTAAAGATTCATTTGATTTGCCGGTATGTTCACAAAGATGTTATAATGACACTAGGTAAGTGGCAGCTCGACTAGCAGCCCAGTAATTGGACAGAGTGTAACACCTGAAAAACACTAAAGAGATTTATGGTTTTAGTTTTGCTTTACAGGTTTAATTTCGGGATCTGTTTGTCTTGAAGAGGAGGAGACATCTGCAGATAATTTGGGGTTGGGTAAAAACCCTGGGAACAATGAAAACTGAAGGGCTCTTGACCTGTTAACCATCCGATCTAATGTTTCAAGAGGGCGACTCGTCATGTCCAGCTCTGCGTCTTAAGTTATGTAACCCTTGTTTTTCATCCCTTGTTTGGTTTTACTTAACTCTCCACTCGTTTCAGATCCTTCACTCCCTGCCCTCATATGTTAGTTTCCCCTGCCCTGATTGTCTCCATCTGCATCTCATTATCTCCCTCTAACTTTAGCTTTTTAAGTTTAGCTTTTTTGCAAGTGAAGACTGTTTTCCTTCACCTTGAGTCTCAGTGTGTTGTCGTTCTTGTGAGTCTTATCTCCAGCTAGACTCATGCAGTTTTTGCACGCCGTAGTTGTGATGGTGGAGTGAACACTGTGCTGTACTGTCTCGCCGTATTTGTGTCAATTGGAGTAGAATAAGAAGACAACTGTTGTGTGAGATATTTTAGCCCACCAGCCAGAAGAACTGGAGGTCATTAATAAAGAAAAGAGGGTTGCAAAGCTACTTTACTTGCAGATTATTTACCCTGTTTGAATTCGAGACAAATACAGCTTTTAAAACAAGTAACAACTCATGCACTGTCTTCTAAAGTTTACTAATGAACCCAACCACCGTTTCTTTACGCCTTGTTCATCAGATTACTCTTCAAACTGGCAGTGTTGTCTTAATCTTTAATGGAATATAGAAAATACAGTAAATAACCCTGATCATATGTTTGAGCCCTGTCCCCCCCCCCCGAGCACTAGAAGAAGTTCATTGTTTGTTTCTGGAAAACAAGTTCTTGCCTGAGAGCTGAATGTAAAGATGTAAACATTTCGCTTCAGGATGAACAAACAGAATTCTAACAAACAGAATTCTTAAGTTGACCTTACACCTGAAGAAATGCTGTGCGAGCGTTTATTCAGCTGACGGCTTCTTTTGAAAACAGGCGTGACGTGTGTGGACCAGCTGGTAGTACAGGTTTTTCAGAATGTGGACCTTTTCCTGGTATGTTATTTATTCAAACAGCAGCTTGGGGACTGACGAGTGCACACTGTCTATTACGATAACACGACTGGGAAATGTGCCAATTGTGCTGCAGTAACCTTTGTCATGGTTATGAGAAACCTCAGCTATGACGACTGATGGTCAAAAATACATCAGAAACATGTGATGTATTATCTTATATGAAACGCGACTGTGATCAGTAGATGTTTTTGGAGACCACAAACAACAACAAAAAAAAACCTTAAAGTTATGAAGCAGACCTTTTATAATATGTTTTGCTTCCAACTTACCAGTTCTCATATTTGTTGAGCTTCTTGATCATCCCTTGCTCCTCCAGCTGGGTCAGGATGGTGCGGTTCTCCTCGTCAGAGCCGTCACAGATGTGGATGGAGTCGGGCTGGCACAGAGTCACATTTGCATCCACGAACTCCCTGACGGCCTGGCTGAGGGCGCTGAGATCGCCCTGCAGGATCCTGGGACCATTCTGGTTCTGGGACTGGAGCTGAGGAGGCATGGCGGAGGAGTCTGGAGCGAGAGCGAGGTGACAGACGGAGAAAAGGAGAGGCAAAGAGCAGGTCTAGGAGTGGACTAGCCTGGAGAGAAAACGAGAGGGGTTAAAAATGAGGAGATGTAAGGAACAAGTAAAGTGAAAGTAGCAGAATAAGGATGAGAAAGAAAGGAGTTCAGGGGGGAAGGAATACAGGAGATAAAATCAGTTTTGCACTTGAATCCCTTAGACTAAAAAGTGCTTAAATTTTATGTATCCTCCAGCTAACATAGCTTTACATCTCTTTCCTCCTGGCAGTTACACTCTGTCTTTTTTTAAGTCTTTTGCACAAGAAAAACTTCCTCATATTTAAAGAAAAATTTTGCAAACTCCATCTGAATCTCTGGGTGATGCAGCAGCATCCCTGTGCAGACTCCACCTCCCCCTGCAGTGAACTTAAAGTTCCCTGGTCACATTACACACAAAGAAAAGCGAGACGGAGCATCGGGTTACCTTTAAGAGTTCGTTAGGAGCAGAGAGCCGTCACTTTGGCCTCATCAGTCGAGGTTTCTCTGTTGCTTTTTTTTAGCTGTCTCACCTTCTTGGTCAGTTGTGTCTTTGTGGAGAGGGATTCCTCTTTTTATACTCCGGGATGTCCCATAAGAGGAGGGAGGGAGGGGTGGGTGTGTGTAACAGGAGGCTCGTCCTATGAGATATTTGCATGAACCTGTTGTTCCCTCCAGATCTGAAAGAAAAACAACACGATGTTAAGAACTGCTGGTGAATCATTAGTCAGTCGCAGGACGTTACGTCGTTTTCATGTAACCGGTTTCTTCTGCCTGCGCCTGAACGCTGATAGCTGAGAGTGGGATCGACTCCAAAACAGAGACAGACAGATGTGTCCTCGCTCAAACTGTTGGTCTCTGTAACAGGCTCAGCACTCCGGGAACAAACAGAGTGATAATATCTGTACTGCTCTCTTTGACAGCTTGTGGTTAACTTTGACTTAAGTTTCAAAGCACTAATTTACATGCAATCCATATATAATCAAAGCTGCACATTTCAGTTTATTTTCACCTCATCAAGCATGCTAAGCCGTGTCAATCATTTCTGAGTGTGCACAGTTTTTTTTCACAGTTCATTTTTTTCAATTATTGATATTTTGACTCAAATATTTCATGCTTATTTCAAATACAGAGCATTACATTTCATAAAAACTTCCCTTGGATGGGGCGCTGGTGGCGCAGTGGTTAGTGCGCCCGCCCCAATTATAGAGGCTGTGGTCCTCAAAGCAGGCGGCCCAGGTTCAAATCCAGCCTGTGGCTCCTTTCCCACATGTCATTCCCCACTCTCTCTCCCTGATTTCTAACTCTATCCACTGTTCTATCTCTCCATTAAAAGGCACAAAGAGCAAAAAATAATCCCTTGGATCTCAAGGACTCATCATACTTCACCCCCTGAACTCGCCCGGTCTTTCGTACAAGAGCTTTTTCGAGTGTTTGCTCCGTCCGTCATCTCTGTCTGAGCTGCAGAGTCTCCTTAAATGAGAACGTTCAGTCGGCTTGGAAGGTTTTAAAAGCAGGATGAAGGAGCATTTGAGGACTGTGTGCTCATGTTTCTCTGCTTAACGCTTCTTATTCGTTGATTGATGCAACATTTGTTTGATGCTGCCGTCTCATCCAGGACTCTCTTGAAGAAGAGATTTTGCATCTTAACATGCAGAAATAAACATATTTGATTAGCTGAAAGTCAGCGCTGTGAGAGTATTTCTTTGTTTTCTCTCTCTCTGCGTTCAAACCTCATCCTCCTGCAGCTGCTGATGAACTTTGACCCCCTTCACAAAGTGATGTAAGTTCAGGGATTCTCGGCTGGCTTTCCACTTCATTGGCTGATCAGTGGAGGCTCGCCCTGGTCAGGACAAAGACAGGCAAGGCAATGTGTGTGTGTGTGTGTGTGTGTGTGTGTGTGTGTGTGTGTGTGTGTGTGTGTGTGTGTGTGTGTGTGTGTGTGTGTGTGTGTGTGTGTGTGTGTGTGTGTGTGTGTGTGTGTGTGTGTGTGCGTGCGGACAGTTTACCCGACAGAGAGAGCCCCACACGCAGGAAAACAGTAATGAAACGGGGACCCCATAGCAGGGGGTGTGAGTGAACAGTTTACCCGCCAGAGAGGCCTCCTAGAGCGGATATGAGTGAAGAAAAAAGTGCCCCATTGCTCCCCCCTATAGATCCATCGAGGATGAGGGTGTGTGTGCGGACAGTTTACCCGTATGATATGGAACGATATGATACAACACAATCTGAAACAATATCACGTATCTTACCTTACCACACTACATAAAAAGACAAGAAACGATACAAAGCTTTTGGGACCTTGTTGTTCTTTTCTGAAATAATGCGATTCGAGGGCGGCCCAGGGTTCGAATCTGCCCTGTGGCTCCTTTCCCGCATTTCACTCTCTCTCTCTCTCTTTCTCTCTCCCTTTCAGGCTCTATCCTCTGTCCTGTCACTAAATAAAGGCAGAAACAAACTCTGAGCCTTCAAATTAAGATCTTCTTCTTCCTACCTTCACTTCACCTTGGAAGACAATAACAACTTCACAGGGGTCAGATTGTGATACAATACAAGAAGAAGAAGACACTGGCTCCTTTAGTTACATAACACCCTGTGCTCAGGTGTTGTATGAACAACAGGCAGTCATAAAACACGGAGAGGATCTTTAACCTGCTGCATAACTTCACTGAGAAGTCTGCTCGCTTCTTTACCTCCAGAGAAAGAACGATATCTTTCAACACGGATAGATTCTTATTCGAGGAAGTGAAGTAGATTTGAACATTTGAATAATAAAAAGAGCTCTCAATTGTTCCTCAAGTTAGTCTGTAAGTGGGGCGCTGGTGGCGCAGTGGTTTGTGTGCGCACCCCATGTATAGAAGCGGGCGGCCCAAGTTCAAATCCCACCTCTCTCTCTTCCTGATTACAGACTCTATCCACTGTCCTATCTCTTCATTAAAGGCACAAAAAGCCCAAAAATAAATCTTAAAAAAAAAAAAGTCAGTCTGTTAGTGTGTATTTCTGTTAACACGTGTTAGCCTGATAAAACCTCACCGCCATTAATAATGCCGCACCGAATACAGTATTTAACGTATGAGCATGCGCAGAACGCGAAATCCGATTACGATACGATGGCTGAGTTTACATGCCGTTAGTTTACCGACTATGAACGACATATCTAGGTGTTCCTTTCCGATGATGAGATGTCCGTTATGGTCCGATTTTGGTCGATGTAGGTCGGACTAAGATGTTTACATGCATTTAAAAAGTCCAAACAGTGTCTGATACGATCAGAAATTTGAATATCTAGCGCCATGTAACCCTACTGAACGTCACACTCGCTGTGAGCGAGACCTAAATCTGTAGATCTCTCAAAAAATTTCACATTTGCACTTTATGTGGTATGGTGGCCCTGAGGGTCAAAACACAAAACGATGTGTCTACATCACACTCCTGAAATGTCGTGTTTTGTGTGTTTTTATAAAGTGTTGAAGAATGTAAGGCAGCACTTTCAAGATCCAAAAACACCTTGAGGGCCTCACAGGATTACAAGACTTGAAAACGTCTCATCCTCTCTGAACTCAGTAAATGTTGTGATGATTGAAAATGATCATCATCATCCACGCAGATACAAAGAACACCAGTGTGTTGTACGGTACATGATTTTTAGAAAACTCCCAGTTATCGTTAAACTGGGACTCAAATGTTCAAAGTTATCAGATAGCGTTCAAACGAAGAGATAGTTTAAATATGAAACAAGTTCTAAGAACGTTGACCAATCAGAAAGAAGAACAAGCTTCTCTGATAAATTAAGATTGCACGTTCGTCAATTCGACATGTGACCAAAACAAAACCACCCATCCGGTCTCAACAAGTCATCAGCTCCAGGGTCTGGACTCACCCCCCCCCCCACCCCAATAGATTCCAGGTGCCAAAGACCTTCTGTCAAGACACATTTCCATGTCATCTGATGTAACAAATTATTTTCCTAAGGGCGCAGTCACACGAAGCAATCTGTACTGCGCCCAAGAACATTGGACCCCCAAAGTCCAGATCGTTTGACTAGTGTGAGTGCTCCAAAAAGGATAGGGGACCGGCGACTACAAGACCTGTTCACTTCCAAACATATGGTCTGAGACGAGTATGTGGTCGACTGAAATTACAGGATGAAGAGTTTGCAAGAAGTTACGACATAAAGAAGGATTTTATTCTTTTTGTTTTGATTTCCTGGTTGGCGTTTGGGGATGTGTGTGTGTGTGTGTGTGTGTGTGTGTGTGTGTGTGTGTGTGTGTGTGTGTGGGGGGGGGGGTTGATGGGTGCATGTGTGTTTCAGCGAGGCTCGGCCTGTTTACGAGCTGACCGGGACAAAAACACTGATAGAGCAATGCTGACTGAACAACTCACCAATTGCAACTTGCTCAACAACAACTGATAGTGATATTTAGTGGACCATGTATGTACACTTATGTATGTTTGTGTGTGTGTGTGTGTGTGTGTGTGTGTGTGTGTGTGTGTGTGTGTGTGTGTGTGTGTGTGTGTGTGTGTGTGTGTGTGTGTGTTTGTACTTATGTTTGTGAGTGCATGCTTGTATGATCCTAGCAGACAACAGAAGCTACAATGCTTTCAAAAAACATGTCAGCTGCATGTAAGTTTAAGCCCCTCAGTTTGCCAGATGTGAGAGCAGTTATCAGGTCAAACCAACAGGTGTTGCAGTGATGGAAGCGAGCAAGAGAACTGGTTCAGATAGAAGTGATTGTACCCGACCTAAAAAGCCTCTGCATGTTTCTAATAAGCTCCACGAGCAGAAACGTGCTCAAACTAGGATCAATATTGGAGATGCTTTTGAAAAATGGAGAGAGGTTAGAACACAGAACCTTTACAGACCACATGGCAACCTGCGTGAGTAGCGACTCTAGAGAGGAGGGGGCGGAGGACAGCTCTCTATAATGTTTAGAATTTAGACTGCAGTATCCAGAGTTACATACTGCTCCTTTAATAGATGATGCCTGAGGTACCCATTGTTTTCTAAAGTGCTGTTCCATATTGGAAATGGTCGTCTCTGAACTGAAATTGATTAGTCCAGATCTGCTTAAATTTGAATTTTTCTTTTGGGGCATGCTGTCCTGTCCTGATATTTTCGGCTAGGGTTAGGGTTTGCTCTGACAGGAAATACCTGATTGATGAATCGCAGAGAGGAAGTGCATGATATATTACTACGGCTTGTGTGCAATATGCAGAAAACTGTTTGAGCATGTCGTAGATGCTGCTGTGCTTTCAGATGAATCAACCTGCTCAGGGAGCGACTTATTCACTTGAACTCATAAACGGAGAGGATGTAATCAGCACAATCTGTATCATATCTGAAGATTATCTGGTTTATGGTCAGAGGAAGAAAGAGTTATCTGTAGAAAGAGAAGACACAGATAACAGCGAGCGAACATATAAGAATAGACAGACAGTTAACAGGCTGTCTGAAGATCATAAAATCTCTGAAGAGAACCTGAACAAGAGCTGCTATTTTAATGACTGCTCATATTCATGACAAACAATTCAGAAGAACCGACCCCTTGATAGGACT